CATGAATCAGTAGCCGGCTTTTGCAAGCCCTATCCACGCATCTTTGGGGTGCTAGCATCCTACTACTTATTGCAAGTTTGCTCTGGGGAACTACTTATAGCTTAAGCAATCAGTCGTGCACAGTCAAGCGCATCAGTTGCCTTCATGCAGGCGACACCTGCAGCGCTCTGCACATTCTGTTTTAAGCTCGAACCCCGTCGATGTCACGCCTCGTAACACTGGGCTGCGCTTTTGACAGCGGATAATATGTCACACCTCACAAAACTGGACTGTCTGCACAAGCGACAGCCTAGGAGCTGATCTCGTCAGGCCAATGGTTTCGAACGACGTCTAGCGCAAAAGAGGGGGGGTAAACCTGGGACTTCTTCAGGGCCTCTGGATTGCCGGTCACCTTGATCTTGCCGTTCTTGTCCCTCTTGTGGGTTGCCAACTTGCCACCGATCTCCAATTGGTCGGACGGCGGGTCCTTCTTCGCCTTGGCCTTGGTAGCAGCTCTTGTCTTGGCAACCTTGGCTTTTGCCTTGGCTTTCGCCGTTGAGCTAGCCTTGCTTTGAGCCTTCTTGGCTGAAGCCTTCCCGCAGCCCCTCTTCTTCGCTTGTTTGCTCAATTCCTTGCCCATGTTGGATAGAAAACCAGCCACGCCAACGAGCAGTGTGCCCTTCTGCGCAAAGTGGCCCCACTTCTTCAAACACAGCCACCTCTGGAAGGGGTTCACCTCCAAGATGACAGAGCGCATGATCTGCGTGTGGAAGAACAACGACGAGGAAGGTTGTTCAATCACCCAGGAGATGCCTGCAAGACCAGCAATGGTTACCAGCAGTGCGACCACCTTGTTGAGATGATTTCCTTCTCTGACCGTTGGCAGGCCCAAATCGCCGTCCGGATCTGCCGCAGATCTCTTCGTTGTGCCACGACAGAGCCATATCCATGAGCTGCACTGCGGGCCCATAAAGCAGAGACCCCCTTCGCGAACTCGCAGCAGCGTGCAGATTGCCGTTGCCAAGCCTTCGTCCGAACACACATCAAGATGGCTGCTGTGATCCCGGTCAATTGCCGCCGTTGTAAGTCCCAACAGTTCGCTCCATCGCGCAATACGCGACTTGCCCGCAAAGAAGTCTGCCACATGGATATTCCGCAGAACCACGAGACTTTTGTCCTCGCATTGCAAGATTTCCTTGATGCTCGCAGGAATCATGCGTATGATCTCTGCCGGTACCTTCCAAGCGTAGTGTCGGAGGTTCGCACTTGGCAAGACCGAACCCGGGTTGGTCCAGTCACCGTGCAACACGTGGGGATACCTGAGGGGCAGAATTTTGAGTATATATAAGACTGATCGAATCACGGCACAGCGTACCAACCGCAAATAAATTGCCTCCATGCTCTGGCACGCTCCGCGAGTGTCCCTTCCTCGTAATCTGGGAAGTCCCCCGTGGGCGCTGCAGCAGCAGCAGCAGCAAACAGCATGATCTTCAAGACATTCGCAGCCATCTGACCTGAACACGTACGCGGCGTTTCAACCCAACACGCAAACCGTGCCCTGTCTAGCATGGCAAAGGTCCAGCCTCCAAAGCAAGTTTCGAGGAGTCCCAACTGCTACCGCAATTGCACTGCTGCTCGTTGCGCTGAAATGCTGCACGAAACAAAGTCAGGATGGAAACACACAGCGAGCACCTCCGAGCTTATGTCCGTGAGCCCATTCAACCCTCTATCATCTGCACATGCACGGTCACGCGACAGACCAAAAACACACTTGCGAGTTTTCCTTGCTCACGCTCAACCAAAGATGCTGGGAGGTTTCTGCTGAAAGCACCTGCAGGGGACATGGACGGATCTCAACAATAAGACACCGAGCTTTCCACTTCTGCATCTGCAAAACTCCGCAGCGATTGAGAAATTCGGGAGGATGCTGCGACTCTGGACGCTATCTTCCTTGTAACAGTGCGGCAAGGGAGGGTGTGTTGCAATGGCACGGACTCGGCCCGAGTATCCCGGAATAAGGCTATCTCCCTCGAAAACCTGATGATGTGTTTTACTTTGAGTCCAAAATGCACCCATCCAGAAAAGCCCAAGCTGCTTCGGGACACACATGCGGATACACGCGGATCTCAATCAGACCCCGGCCCGTGCTTTCCACACGTTTCTGTGCGACATTGAAAAGTTCGGAAGGATGCTGCGACTCTTGCTGGGTGCAGTCGAATGTCCCAAGCCTAGTCTATATAGTCGCCCAGAACGGCTTTCTTGCTCGAGAAACTGACTGGCTTAATTTACCCTGGAGCCGATAGCACCCATCCAAGCAGCACCACGCTGCTTCAAGCCACTACTTGCGGGCGCCCCATGCCTGTAGGAGATCCGCAACACTTTCCGAAGGCCCTGCTGTCGCCTTCGCCTTGGGATCCGCCTTTGGCGGGTCGGCTTTCACCTCGACGGGCGGGGTCGGGGTCGGCGTCGCATCCGCCTTCCCCTTCGGAGCTGCAAGCTTCTGCTTCTTGGCCGGGGGCGCACCGCTCTGCAAGGAGTCCAAGGCCGACAGGACGTTCTTCTCAAAATTTTGTCGGCCCGCCCCCGGCAGTGGGGGTTGGCCTTCCCGTCCACTCTGCTTCTCGTACACGGCCAGGCGCTTAGGCTTGATCTCCTCAACTCTGGAAGCTTTGTCTGTGGGCACGAAGCCGGGCACATCGGCCTCCACATTGCTGCGGATGTAGCTCTGCAGCAGCCGGCTGAGGCAGGCCTTGTGAGCGTCGTTCAGTGCGACGCAAACGACCTTGATGCCGAGGGACAAGGCGGTCTTGCTCAGCATGCCAGCCCCAGGACTGAAATCCACCAAGACTCTGGCCCCGTTCTCCCACAGAAGCTGTGCGCACACCTTTCAGAAGTGAGCTTCAAGTGCCTCACCTATAAACCCTATATAAACCGTGATGTGCACGCCGCAAATTGAGCTAGCCTGCCTTGGGGTGCTGCTCCATGAAAAACAAGGTCACATTGCCCTCGGAGTCCATGAGCCCCTGGTTCTCTGCCGGAATCCCCGCATCGTCTTCCTCATCAGAGGATGCGGCGTTCTCAGCTGCTGCTGTAGCGGTGCCCGTCGCAGCAGCCGGCGCTGATGCAGCGGCAGTCTTTTTGGTGCCGCCTGGGTTCCACTTGTCGGTGCCCATGATGCCCCGAAAGATGGCCTCCCGTTCCTTCGCTGCCACCTTCTGCATCGCCGCTTTGTCGAGTATGGGCAGCCCACTCATGTTTTTAAAGGCGGTGTTCCCCGGAACGAATCGTCGCTGAGTCGGTCGCCTTTCCTTCCAGAGCTTGTTGTTCTTCACCACATGGATGTACTGCTCAGACGCGTCGATGCTGCCATAAGCATTGCGCCCTTCCCCGTGCAGTGCCTTCAGCAGCTCCGCTTCGTCCGGCACAAGCGTCATTTCTTTCAAGCCAACTTTTGGCTTGAGACTCTGTATGGCCTTCCTCATGTCTTTGTGCAGCAACTGGTTGCGGCCGCTCAGAAAGATGGCCGAGTCAGCCTCCTTCAACAGCTTGCTGGTCAGGTCCACACTGCTGGCCAGGCGCGCTTCATCGGCGGAGGCCTTCATGCGGTACACGCTCATCCTCCCAGGCGGATCTTTCGTTGCGTCTAGTCCTGCACTCCAGCAGAAGAGTTTTGCCGCGCCGTCCTGCAACAAAGGGTGGCTGCACAAGGTCGCCTCCAGGTTGGGATCCGACCACGACAGCAGCAGCACGTTGCAGGAAAGGTAGGCACTGCCCATCTCCATCAGGAGGGTCTGCTGCTTCGTGGCAAATTCCTTTTTTAAAGCTGCTGCTTCCTCTTCCGTCACGGGCTCCAAGGATGTACTTTCAGAATCAGGCACGCCGGCTCGGCCGGAGCTGCTGACTGCCGACATGCTCTCGCGGGCCTGCTCCTGCGCATACGTGTTCTCCAGCTCGGTGAGCAAGTTCTTCACGAAAGGCACACCCAAAGGGCTTCCTCCCCCTAGGAGCCCAGAATGCTTCTTGAAGACATACATCGGGATGAGGATCTCATTCAGCAGCTTGTCCAGCGACTCTTGTGCGAACAAGGGGTAGGACTCTGTCGCTGCCACTTCCACCCCGTCAGCCTAATGGATCGAGCAAAACCCTACGCAAAAGCCAGAACCACTTAAGCAGCGGAACCTGAAACGCACAATACAGCACTAGCTAGCTCACGTGTGCCGGCTGAGCACCGTCATGCCCGAGGGAAACTTCGCATGGAACACCCTCAAGCTTTGGAAATCCTTCAAGAATTCGGCGTATCTGGGGAAGCGGGGTAGCAACGCTTGCGGCACTTTGCTGTACAGCACTAGCCCTCGGGCCAGTTCTGCGATTCCACGGCCCGACATCTTGATGCTGCAGCCCCGCAGGAGAAGGATGTGAAGGTTTTCCGACGCCAGACGCAGCTCGTCAAGGCTCTGCAATGCACTCTGAAAGCTATCAAAGGTACGTGCAGACTCTTGCAGGAGCGTCTGCTGGCCTTTCCTTCCGAAAATTTCCTCGTTTCTGTCGAAGAAGAACAAGGCGGAGTCCACGTAAGCAGGATTGCCAGGATCTGCCACTGCCATGGACAAGCGACGCAACACTCGCAAATGCAACCGAACATTCGGGACATTCATGGTCGTGTCGCTGCTGGCAAAGCTAATCTTGTGCTGCTTCATGTACTCCACCAGCCCAGTAGCAGCACTCGCCGCGGGCTTCACTCGCAACAGGTGCTCCTGGCCGGAAGCTGGACTACCCAAGGTTCCAACACTGCACTGTCGTCTCAGTAACATGAACAGGATGATCAGACTGAGTTATTTTTCGTTCGAGATACAATGTTTTACTCACCTACATCCGCAAAGCAAGAACGACGTGACTCTCCTGAATGCTGTTGAGCTCTCTGGCTCTGCTGAGCAGAGAGTGTCCAGCGATCTGGGCGTTCTTTTCTTCGTCCTCTCGAAATTGGTAGGCGACGGCCAGTTTCTCGGACTCGGAGGGGATCAGGCGAACGTCCATCAACACGTGCAGGGATGCCTTCCTGAAATAGGCAATCGTCTTACTGTCCTTTTGCTTCAGGGCTTGGTCAAAGCGCATAAGCCAGGCCAGGAAAGCCAGGTCGAGGTTCGCTCTCTGCAGTTTGCCAAGATCCGCTTCCTCAATTGGCAGCTTGAAGGCTGCAACTTGGAGCAGAGTTCCTGGAGGAGGGAACTCAAAGGCCTGGTTTGCCCTCTCCCCGTAGTACTGCTGCATCTCCTGCACCACCGCCCCCTTCAGGGGGTACACGCCCGGGATCGGCATCAGCTCGATGTCAAGCAGGCACAGCGGCAGGGCTGCAGTGAAGTTCGTGCTGTGCTTTCTGGCCTCCGCTAGCCCAGCTTCCGCTCCCTGCTTCCTGCCAAACTCGGTTTTGCACAGCTTGAACAAGTCCTCAATCCATTGCGGCCTTTCACGGCAATGCGAGGGCGCAAGTTCCTCCGCCATCAGAGATACAGCCACAGCTTGCTTCGAGCACTTTCGCGGCTTGGAAAGGACGGCGGAGACAAAGCCTCCAAACAAAGTACAACGAACAACAGGGCAATAGCCTTCTCTCCCTTCCTCCCTAGCCGGCTTGCAACATTGACAAGATGTGTGGTTGCTTTGATATGGCCACTCGTAATTTGTTCTGTCGAGTCCACGATCGAAACCCCGATTGCTTCAGCTGGGTTTAGAATCAAGTCTGTTAGTTGTGTCCGATTGACTCTTCTGTTGCTAGCTTCGGGTCATGTTTGGCAGAAACCACCAAAGGACGCCAAACTACCAGTCGACAAGCGCGGTCCTCAAAACCGGCCTTGTCGTCAACTTCTGCAAAACGACCTGGCCCCAAACGCAAACAGAACGATTGACAATCGTCGTCTCTTGACTAGAACAGGCAATGCGATTTGTACTCTGGCTGCGGTATACGACTTAACCAGGGGCTTCTAGGTTCTGCTGAACCCCGCCCACTCCCCACCTCTACCTGCAGTCGGGCAACAGCCTCGGCATGAGAGATCGGTTACTGCCATGGAATGCTGAGAGGCGGTTTTGGGCTGTGCCGGAAACTAACATTT